GAAACTAACCACTCCTTGTACCGAGCGGTACCATCTCTCTTTTCACAGCCTGGCATGAGCAGAGATCGTCAACCTTGGAGAATGAAGTGCGACGCCGTAGGGAGCAATGTCTAGTCAGCCAACTAAGTCACCTGGTGAGACACGCTCCTCAACTATGGGTCCACCTCTGCAGAGAGGCAAAAACTACTCATGGTGACAAATCTTCCGACAACAGTATCAGGAGACACGCCAACCCGAACGCCACATTTGCAACGTCAGCAGGGAGTAACGGTCAAGCCTGTCGTCTGTTCCCTCTGTAACAAAGTAGGTCAATCCGTCCCAAGTGCCCCATAAACCCCAACCCATTGGGAAAATCTCTAATATCCCTTAGTAAGTACATGTCCCTAGAGAAGTAGAAGAGAAGGTATGGCCCACTATTAATCGCAAGAGTTTATTTCCTTCAGGAAAACCCAGAAACAGAAACAAAAGTACGACTTTGAGATACTGGAGCCTAGGCTACACTTGAAGAGAAGGAATATTACCCTTTCAGAGAATACTTCTGAATTCTCTGTTTTATTGGAAGCATTTGGAGGAGCTCTTATTCGTCCTGTTGCATAAAATTTATGTACAGTGCAATATTACCACTGGGTATTGACTGTAGGTGTCTCTAAAGAATTTCCATGAAAGATGCCATGTTATTTACTGGGTAATAACATTACTACTGTTAGTTTGTGTCTGAACCTATACTGATTAATTCATCTCCGGTGTTGGGCCATAACTCGGGCAACATCCCAAGGGTTGTCTGGCAGGGAATGTTGGACTCTCCTTGGATGACTCCGATCTCGAATAGCCACGTTTGTTTTATGAGGCACACCGGCGGAGCCTCGTAAATCAAGTTGAACAGACACCATCAAGCCTTCTATTCCCAGGTTTGTGCAAGATTGCAGATGTCTGTTTCCTATGCCCGAGGGACTGTCTTCCGGGAGGGAAACAACGATAGGACCTTCTTTGTAAAAATCACTTTTCAGGCAGCCAGGGTAAATCCTCTTAGGGTCATCCGGTCAAGTATGAGTGAAAAACAATTATTGATCTGATGAGACTGGTACGGAGATAGAGGGCCGGCAATTGTTTAAACAGCATTATTGTTCCAACAAAGTATAGACCTCCAATATAATATAGCTCATAATACGTCATTCGGGAGGTCACTTAGGAATTACAAAAACTTGTATAGAATCACCAAAAGAATTTTATGGCCAATATTAAAGAAAGAGTGAAGAACATATTAGGTGCATGCGAGAATGTCAGCAAGTAGGGACACCTGGACATTCATTTAACTGCACCTTCTCAACCTATACCTCTGATGGAGAACTTTTGCACATGTTTTAATTATTAGATTGTGTAGGTCCACTACCTAGGTCAAAGTCTGGAAACAATATTTATTTAAGATTATGGATAAAGTAAACCGGGATATCTGAAGCAATTCCATGCATAGTGTTAATACTAAAGCTTTCTCAAAGCTTTTAGAACAATTCATTTCTTGTTTGGCATTCCTTAAAACTATTCAAAGTGATCAAGTACTTAACTTTCCTGCCAAAGCATTTAGGAAAGTATTAACAAGGTTAGGGATAATCCACAATTACTCACTACCTATCATCCTCCGTCCAAGGCAACTTGGAAAGATTCTCCGACGTTTAAAAAACTATGATGAGAACTTTTTGCATGCAATTTTCCTACAGACTGGGAAGAATCACTACCCTTTTTGCTGTTCTCAGTACGAGAGAGAGATGGATGCATAGAGTTACAGGGTATAGTCCGTTTGAGTGATCGCTTAGGGCCATGTACGAGGTCCTATTCGGGTGCTCCAAAGAAGGATGGATGGGAGAAGAAGGCGTTAGCTCAACACTCTTACACCGTCTTCAAAGGTTGCAGGAGGCACGTTCAGTTAGCCAAGGCTAACCTGAAGACAGCTCAAAGTAAGATTGAAACAGAGGTATGACAGAAGTGCACAATTCTGCTCCTTCCATCCAGGAGACCAGGTGTTGGTGCAGGAACCTATTCCTGGCACCTTTTGAAAGGCTAGATTATATGGGACCTATGCAGATTGTAAGTAGATTTCTGATGTAAATTATGTGGTGAGCTTCCATTGATAAGACCTCAAAAACTAAATTACAGCATAACTCAATTAAAGTCTAGTTCATACCACCCATATAGTGTCCCAGTAATAGACTTGTCATTACCTCTGAGGCGGACTCTGACTCTTTGCACGCTCTATCTCTGAAATTAATATTAAACTTTTCAAATTCTGTCCTCCACAAGGATCTAGCCCTTTAATGGAGGGATTTATCTGAACGCAAAGAACAAATTTAACGGAGCTTCTACAGTCCTATCCTAATATTTTATCGGATGTGCGCGAAAAAAATGTACGTAGGTTATCATGATAGTGTAGATGTGGGAGGAAGGAAACTCTAAACCATTATACTCTCCCCTACCAGAGCTAATCCTGAAAAGCAAAGGCTACTTCAGCAGGAAAGTAGAATTTTGTTAAAGCATGGTTTAGTGGAGGAGTCATCTAGTCCATTGGGTGTCACCGTGCGCATCCTTGTGAAGAAAGGCTGATGAAGGTGTTTCGTATGTGTAACAGCTACCCGTAAGGTGAACGAGGTCCAATTACAGATGCTTACCCTCTTCTCGTCTGGGATGACGTAAATGATTTGTGGGTAGGCTACTTTGTGTCATGTTCGATCTCCTTAAAGGTTACTATAGGTCTTTTGACGGATAGGGAAGGAAAATCTCTCTGGCATTCATAATTCCAGGCGGTCATTATGCTAAACACAGTTACCCTTCGGAATGAATTAATTCCCCTTCTTCCTTCCAGAAACATTATCCATAGGTATTAAGGACTTGAAGGCACGGCAGCGTACCTAGATGATTATTGTTGTGGTGTCTGAAACTGGATCAACACCTACTTAGACTTAAGGCTCTTTTTGAGCTTTACGAGTCTCTTTAACAGTTAATTATCTAAATCTTCCTTTGGCCAGGCACTATCACTTTTCTAGGCCAAGCATGAAGTAGGTAGTTTGGTAAAGTGGCACCTAAGACTTGCAAACTAAAGTTCTTGCGCTATTAAAGATTATCTCCAGATACCTCATGATAGGGAATTCTTCACGTTTCCTTTAGGCTGATAGGATTTTACCGCAGATTCTGCCAGAATTTCTCAGATTTTTGTAGCCCTCTTACTACTTACCGTCCCAACGATCCCTTTATCGGACTCGCCTGTAACACTGCTTTTTCAATAAACCAAAAAAAGATTCTTGTGTACTGATCCATTCTTAGTCTCCAGCTTCTCCAACCCTTATTTCATTACAGGTGATGCTTGGAGTCTGGGTTGTGGCAGTACTATTAGACTCGGGCACCAAGGCGTTGCAACCTGTAGCATACTTTTCAGCCCAGTTCTCAGCCACATCAGAGGGCTTACTCTACCATTGAAAAAGAAAGCCCTCGCGATTGGTACTGGCTTGGCATTTCGATGTTATGTGGGCCAGACCTCGCAGGTGGTCACACTCTACAGTGATCACAATCCTCTAGTATTATTCTCCAAGCAGGAAGAACACACACACAAAGGGCATATGCGCTGACGCTTTAGCTGCAGCCCTATAATATTTCCATTAAATATTTGTCACGGAACGAAAATATGTTGGCAGACTCTTATCTAGCGTCTGAATATTTTTATAAGTTAGGTTAGGATGTTATTTGTGGTAACCCTTTCACGCTCTTTTTTTTTATCCCTGGTGTGGGGTTTTTTGTTTAGTGAGGGGATGTGGGCTACCTGTTCCGCCTGTATCTTGGACCTATGCAAGCCTGTCTGATGCCGTCTCACTCTAAAGTTTATAGTTTGGCGTTTGGTTCACGAGGAAAGAGCTGAGCTCTATCTCAGAGTTGGATGGTGTGGAGAGGGAAGACGGTCCCATTATTTTGTGCCATGGCGGCACGGTTACCACTTGGGGATCGGTGGCAGCTACTCCTGAAGCCTTCTCGCGGGGTGGGGGTGTGGCATGCACAGAGTACCTAACTATGTATACGGCGCCTGTACACACCCACATTTACAGGCTATCTCCCCAAACAGAGAACCAGGTTGATGAGAGATTGATGATGGTGCCCCATCGTTCAAACTAGTGACCAGGTTCCAGCAATACGTTGGTGGTTTTAGGCAATCGCAGAGTTTATGTGTGGTACCACTCACCTATCTGCCTTGTCATTCCCATTTTAGGCTGGTTGAAGCATTGTCTGCTATCTGTGGCTTCTATTTCTGCCTTGCTACCATGGAGTGCACTTATATTATCACTGTACATATGTACATATGCTGTTTAAATTGGTGAAGGATAATATAAGTCTAAACTTTTTTGTGTGTTAATTTGCTCCATTACACCCGGATAAAAAGGCCCTTGGCAATCTGGTTTGTAATAGATAATGTTTTTATGTCTCCACGATACTCAAGCACCACAAACCTTTTTTTCCCTCATCAATCTAGCTTAACCTCATCTTCATAAACCCATCTGCTGACAAGGTGAATCCCAAAATGTCTGAAAACATTCCCTTCTCCTACCCCTCTCTCCAATGTGATATCCAATTTTTCCCTCTTATCTAAATCATGTGATACCCTCATCACTTACTTCTTATCATGTTCACTTTCAAACTTTCGTACTTTTATAAACCCTCTCAAACTGTCCCTAACCTTTCAACTTTTCTTGAATCTCCCATCAGCAAATGTAAGTCTGTGTTAACTCCCCATTTTGTATTTGATCCCATAATTTAATCCCACCCCGTCTCCCCAACACCCTAGCATTTACTTCTTTTACAACCCATTATAAATGATTAAACAACCATGGTGATATTAACACATCAAGACCTATTTTACCGGGAAGTAGTCTCCCTCTTCCTATCACCTAACCTGAGGCCTAGTATCCTCATAAAAACTTTTTACTGTCACCTTTTAGTAACGTTACTAACTTACTTCTGCGCTTTTATCCTCCTATATCCTTTGTAGCTTTCTCCGTGGGCATATTTATACAGACTTCATATGCCTGTGCATTCAGTTTTTCTATGCACAGGTGTAGGTTAAGAGTGCTCCAAACTGTTTCCCCAGAAAATATCAGAGCTTAATTTTGTCTGAATTATCTGATTGCTAAATTTACTGAACATTCCTTCACAACAGCTACATCCTATCTATATCTTAAGATTCTCTACATATGATTTTAAGCCTCTTGATACTTCAATGAGGTTGTGATCAGAGTATGCTGTATTTGAGACTGCTATGACTGATTAGTTCCTCATTAATCATGAACATCAAGTCAAGCATATTTTCACTTCTGGTAGGCTGTGTTATCTGCTGGTTCAGGGGAAACCTTTTACAAAGCCCCAACAGCTCTCTGGTATGTATCTATAGGGTCAAGGTACTTCTAGGTACTAATTCTGGTACAATGCTATTGTCTGCTATTTAACATTTCGAAGGGTGAAATCTCCAAGGATAATATTTCTTCTATTCTCAATATATACATCTCTCTCCACTGGTTCAAACAAAGCCCCTGGTTCACACAAAGTTAACTTACCAGCAAATGCATGAAGGGTGGTGCCACCAATCTGGCAGGCTGCCACACCAGTGCTAGCCGTCACAAAGGTAACATCAGGAGGAAGGACACCAACTATGCGCTTTAGGAGAAAACTCTTACCAGTTCCTGCACTGCCTAAAAATGTAACAAGAATATTAGTTTAGATAATGTTGAGTCATTTACATTAAACAAAAGTTGAGAGAATTTTGGGTACAGAAAATGTCCACATCATCATATTAAGGTTTATGTCATTGTCTATATACAAAGTAAAATGTACTTGAAGGTAAGAAAAACTAACAATAAAGGAAGAATTTATTATTTCACAAACCTAACTATTTTATCAATATAAAACCAGATAATTATCTTATTTTCATATTTTCTGATGTAAGAAGACAGAAGATAAAAAATTATAAAAGGACAAAGAAAAGGTTGTGTGTAAATGTCTGATGTGATTTCACCTTTAAAAATACCTCCCACAAATATTAGCAGTATTGGAAACTATCATTATTAACATCTCAGAGACACTACCATCATGGGAGACTAGTAATAATATCCCCAACACACATTACCATCATGAGAGACTAGTAATAATACTGTCCACACACATTACCTTGGGAAAAATGGGAACTAGTAGCACCACACCTATAACTGTCCAAATCAGTACCTGAACAATTTCACCCACCAAGAATTAATTACAGAAATTCCATGGAGAAGTGTGTTAAAATCCTCCTCTATTTGTAAACCATGCATATCATTGCAGGTACCTGAAGGATACCTGAAGTATACTTCTTGGGGTCACTGCCAATGCAGCCCAGTTCCAGAACAGGCCTCCTGGTGGACCAAGGCCTGATCAACTAGGTTGTTAATGCTGGCCACATGCAGTCTAATGTGCAAAGCAGCCAGGCTGGTCAGGAACTGATTTGAGGAACTTGTCCAGTTTCCTCATGAAGATAGCGAGGTTTGTTGGGACCTATGCATGTACTACTCTTAAATATACAGAGTTTATTAGTTAAACTTTCTAAGGAAAACTATTTACCTACCAGTAAAGAAAATATTCCTGCCAGACTGTACTATGCTTAGTACTCGTTTCTGCTCAGTTGTAAGAAGTAGTCGATTCATAAATCGTGGCACTTTAGTTGTCAATGAGGATGAATCCTGATGAGGAGCATATTTTAATTAATTTCCATTCAGTTACTAAAATGAAACTGAAAGTAAATTGTAACAACCTGTTTAAAAGTCTTATGAGACAAAGAATTCTTTATATTGTAAATACATGTTAAACAAATGTATTAATAAATTAAGGTAATTTTTTCTATTTGAACTGTGGTGAAGGACTTATTTATACTAAATGTACAGATATAGTATGTGAATGCTAGGTTCAAAATATGTATATGTCCAATCATGTATCATATGTGAACCATAGTTTATTACAGTAAAAATTTATTTATAGCATTATGTAAATTTGCATGACTCAGAGGAAACTCCTTATAATACCTTTTCATCCCTCTTGCGCTTGCTGGAGACTGGAGATTCACCAGGAACATTACCATTCCTTTCCTTAAGGATCCTGTGGCCCTTGTTGTTCCTCACAGTCTCAAACTCCTGTAGGAGAAGAATTAATATTATTTTCCTTGTTTTTAAGAATCCAAGAACCATTAACAGAATAGCAACTGGTGGATAGATCTCTTATAACAGAAGAACTGAATCCCACAATCACTTTTTGCCCCATCATTCTTCCAGATTTCCTTTCCTGTGCACTCGAACTCTCTCACTGGACTGCTAACTGTGAAGGCTTTAAGCATCAGGCAGCTGCCTTTATCAGTAACAAAAAAACCACATACCAGTTACCCCACCTGGAGAACATTATTCAAAACTGTAGTTCTGCTTAGTTGTCAGAGTTGGTAGACAATGAAAAATACACCTTTTGCATAGCCCCTAGTCTGTGTGCAATGGAAGAATCCTGCTGAGTGTTCAGTAGAAACAACAACAGGAATCCAGTGATGAGTATGTGAAGAAACAGATGATATTAACCAATCAGTGGCTGGCATACACAAGTATGGTATGCAAACCTCACATAAATGTTCATTTCAACAGCTTCCATCACTTCTTAGGACAGGGAAAAGATAAATACCTTACCTTTGATTTTCCTAAAGGTTTAGTTACTTTCCACATCCACATATTTAATGATCAAGATGATTTAGCCAGAATCCTCAGTTGAAAACAAGAACCAACCAAAGAGAAGGATCTTTCCTTTGATAAGTTTAAACCTACTATTGGATAGTTATAAGAGACATTATGTGGATCTTAACCCTTAAATGGTCCAAATGTATATATACGTTTTTTCAACATCTGAAAGTATGTAAAAAAAATGTATATCTTCTTTTCTGTTTTACATTTGAAAACGTGTAAAAAAAAAGTAGATCTACTTTTGTAGCACTACGAATTTGAACGTCTATCTGTTTGGACCGTTTAAGGGTTAAGGAGCACTTGTTCACGGATAAACACATGTGATTCATCTCTAATTAAAGTACAGTGGAACCTCAAATTTCGAACTTAATCCATTCCAGGAGCTAGTTCTAAATTCGAAAAGTCTGAAATTCGAAGCAATATTTCCCACAAGAAATAATGGAAATACAATTAATCCGTTCCAGAAACCCAAAAATATTCACAAAAAAAATACATTTTTTTATTTTATATTTTATTATCACACTGGCCGATTCCCACCAAGGCAGGGTGGCCCGAAAAAGAAAAACTTTCACCATCATTCACTCCATCACTGTCTTGCCAGAAGGGTGCTTTACACTACAGTTTTTAAACTGCAACATTAACACCCCTCCTTCAGAGTGCAGGCACTGTACTTCCCATCTCCAGGACTCAAGTCCGGCCTGCCGGTTTCCCTGAACCCCTTCATAAATGTTACTTTGCTCACACTCCAACAGCATGTCAAGTATTAAAAACCATTTGTCTCCATTCACTCCTATCAAACACGCTCAAGCATGCCTGCTGGAAGTCCAAGCCCCTCGCACACAAAACTTCCTTTACCCCCTCCCTCCAACCTTTCCTAGGCCAATCCCTACCCTGCCTTCCTTCCACTAGACTGATACACTCTTGAAGTCACTCTGTTTTGCTCCATTCTCTCTACATGTCCTCTGGACAACAGTTTTGGTAATCCCGCACCTCCTCCTAACTTCCAAACTACGAATTCTCTGCATTATATTCACACCACACATTGACTTAACCCTTTGAGGGTCGACAGGCCCTCTCCGAAACTCGTTCTCAGGGTCGGCCAAATTTAAAAAAAAAAAAAAATTATTTTCTCTTATGAAAAAATAGAGAATCTTTTCCCGATCATAACGACACCAAAAGTTTGAAATTTGATAGAAAACTTACGGAATTATGCTCTCGCAAAGTTAGGGGTCTCGGGGATGTTTACGGATCGGCGATTTTGCCCACTTTGAGCCCCATTTTCGGCCAATTTCACTGTACTAGTCGACAAAAAAACATGAATATTTCGCTAGAAACTCCATTTTTTCTATCGAATGGGTGCAAGAACCACCCATTTATAATTCAACTATCCAGTACAGTGGTCAGAATTTAGCAATTTTGCCAATTTCACACAAATTTCAAAAGATGCCAATTTCGGAATAGGGTCCAGAATAAACAAAAAGACATTCTGGCACTAAAATGACATTTCCTCTAGTCATTTGTCACGTCTCAAGGCCCCTCTTATATTCTTTTGCTTTCCACTTTGAATTTTTATTCTCACAAAAAATATAAGATTTACTGTTATGCAGACTACTGCATTAGTTTTAAAAAAAGGTATTTAAATATTATTGGTGCCACTTTTGAAAGAATATTAGAAATCACCAGTTGACGTGTAAATTTCACGCTTGGCACGATTTGTTTACTTTTGAAAGTTTGGTAAAAATCGAACATTTCTGCTACTTTGAGCTCAATTTCAAGGCACCTTTCATTGTAAAACCAGTCAAAATCATCTCAATTTCAGTTTAAAAATGTCTTCCATTCTATAAAATGAGACCAAGAAAACTAGAATACAACAATAAATACCATACGAAAATACACTGCAAAGTCGCTGATTTATTAAAAAAAAAATGGAAAAAGTTTTTTTTTTCTCATTATGCACTGTGTGCTGCAGGATTTTTTTTAGACTGTGCACACTGACCACATAGACCCATTCTTTCATATGAAGGCCTACCGCTTTCTCCCACTAGATTTGAGGTCGCTAGAATTTATGAGTACTAGTACGTCAAAAACCCCTACGCGTAAGACGTACTAGTACGACGAAAACCCTCAAAGGGTTAAACATGACATCTCCACTGCCTCCAGCCTTCTCTTCGCTGCAACATTCATCACCCATGCTTCACACCCATATAAAGGGGTTGGTAAAACTATACTCTCATACATTCCCAAGACAAAGTTCTTTGTCTCCACAAAAATCCTAAGTGCACCACCCCACCCTTTTCCCTCATCAATTCTATGATTCACCTCATCTTTCATAGACCCATCCGCTGACACGTCCACTCCCAAATACCTGAATACATTCACCTCCTCCATACTCTCTCCCTCCAGTCTGATATCCAATCTTTCAATCACCTAATTTTTTGTTATCCTCATAACCTTACTTTTTTCCTGTATTCACTTTTAATTTTCTTCTTTTACATACCCTACCAAATTCATCCACCAATCTCTGCAACTTCTCTTCAGAATCTCCCAAGAGCACAGTGTCATCAGCAAAGAGCAACTGTGACAACTCCCACTTTATGTGTGATTCTTTATCTTTTAACTCCACGCCTCTTGCCAAGCCCTCGCATTACTTTTTCTTACAACCCCATCTATAAATATATTAAACAACCACGGTGACATCACACATCCTTGTCTAAGGCCTACTTTTTACATTTTATAGAGATTAATTACAGTTTTACATTATTTTTTTTTTTTTTTATTATCACACCGGCCGATTCCCACCAAGGCAGGGTGGCCCGAAAAAGAAAACTTTCACCATCATTCACTCCATCATGTCTGGCCAGAAAGGGGGCTTTAAACACTAACAGTTTTTAACTGCAACATAAACCCCCTCCTTCAGAGTGGCAGGCACTGTACTTCCCATCCCAGGACCAAGTCGGCCTGCCGGGTTTCCCTGAAACCTTCATAAATGTTACTTTGCTCACACTCCAACAGCACGTCAAGTATTAAAAACCATTGTCTCCATTCACTCCATCATCAAACACGCTCACGCATGCCTGCTGGAAGTCCAAGCCCCTCGACACAAAACCTCCTTTACCCCCTCCCTCCAACCCCTTTCCTAGGCCGACCCTACCCCGCCTTCCTTCCACTACAGACTGATACACTCTGAAGTCATTCTGTTCGCTCCATTCTCTCTACATGTCCGAACCACCTCAACAACCCTTCCTCAGCCCTCTGGACAACAGTTTTGGTAATCCCCAGCATCCCTCCTAACTTCCCAACTATGAATTCTCTGCATTATTCACACCACACATTGCCCTCAGACATGACTCTCCACTGCCTCCAGCCTCCCTCGCTGCAACATCCTCACCCACGCTTCATCACCCATATAAGAGCGTTGGTAAAACTATACTCTCTCATACATTCCCCTCTTTGCCTCCAAGGACAAAGTTCTTTGTCTCCACAGACTCCTAAGTGCACCACTCACTCTTTTTCCCTCATCAATTCTATGATTCACCTCATCTTTCATAGACCCATCCGCTGACACGTCCACTCCCAAATATCTGAATACGTTCACCTCCTCCATACTCTCTCCCTCCAATCTGATATTCAATCTTTCATCACCTAATCTTTTTGTTATCCTCATAACCTTACTCTTTCCTGTATTCACCTTTAATTTTCTTCTTTTGCACACCCTACCAAATTCATCCACCAATCTCTGCAACTTCTCTTCAGAATCTCCCAAGAGCACAGTGTCATCAGCAAATGAGCAGCTGTGACAACTCCCACTTTGTGTGTGATTCTTTATCTTTTAACTCCACGCCTCTTGCCAAAACCCTCGCATTTACTTCTCTTACAACCCCATCTATAAATATATTAAACAACCACGGTGACATCACACATCCTTGTCTAAGGCCTACTTTTACTGGGAAAAAATTTCCCTCTTTCCTACATACTCTAACTTGAGCCTCACTATCCTCGTAAAAACTCTTCACTGCTTTCAGTAACCTACCTCCTACACCATACACTTGCAACATCTGCCACATTGCCCCCCTATCCACCCTGTCATACGCCTTTTCCAAATCCATAAATGCCACAAAGACCTCTTTAGCCTTATCTAAATACTGTTCACTTATATGTTTCACTGTAAACACCTGGTCCACACACCCCCTACCTTTCCTAAAGCCTCCTTGTTCATCTGCTATCCTATTCTCCGTCTTACTCTTAATTCTTTCAATTATAACTCAGTTTTACATACACACAACAAATGCTATAGTCTTTAATTATGTATAGTAATATAAAATAACATTTTTACTTACCTTTACTGAAGAATGGTGATGGCATCTGGAAGAGAGGGAGTTGGGGTTATTGTTTGGAAGGAGAATCCCCCTCCATGAGGACTCCCGGTATCAAAGCCCTCTCTGGGGTTGTTTCCCTTCTCTGTATTTTAATGCCACTAGGACCAGCTTGAGAGTCACTGGACCCCAGTC